AGAAAGCCAAGAAGAGTGCGGCTAATCATTGGTAATGCATTTGTCCATGCTAGGTGTGTTATGCCCATCACAAAATCTCCTTTCAATTTTGATAAATCTTTGCACTTTTTAGCACCAATTGCTGTCCACGAAAAGAGAAGTGAGGTCTGGTAAACCTAATCATCACTTCGTCTTTTGTTGAAGGCCATGCCAAATCTTGGGGCATAAGACCAAAATTGATCCTTAAGCCAACTGGTCTCTGTCCATCCTCCCATACGTTTTGTACGTCTCGATGAAGAAAGCAATGAGTGCTAGACGTAAAAACAGTGAATGTTGCTATTCTTCCTAATCCCCCTTCAAAGTTATTTGCAGTTTACCCGAAAAATCGATGCCAGTGAAGCCGGAGAGTAACCACGATGGGAACCGAAGTGAAAATTAGCAGAAGACAGTTGCTGTGTTTTAACTTGGCACTTATTTAGCTGTCCACCTAACTGTCTCTCTTCCTCTAGTATTGACGGGTTGTGTTCCTATCTTATGGTGTAGACCTATAGCTTTTATCTATTTGTAAGTATGTGAGAGAGCTTGGATCCTGCCAAGTCGTCAGTGCGAGCGGACATGGGTATTCCTGACCAGCATGAGTGAATAGGGCGCACTGTGAAAGCGCACGTTACGGCTAGCTGACTACCAAATACGTGGAAATTAGAGTCTCATGTCGTCATAGCATTTTAATTTGCCTTAATCTGCGCGTGGCATCGGCCAATCAGGAAATCGAAATACGGAGGCGAGTCTCGTGATGATCTGCATTATTGGGCGATCGGATGCCCAAAATTGGACGGAAAAATGTTGTGGGACCTGACGACATGCGTTAATCATTAGCCACTCATGATATCTGGTGCTGTTTGTGTTCTATTCTTTGGGCTTTACAAGCGAGATAAATCTATGGTTATGAATACGAGGACAGGGAATTTTGTGGTTAGCCGTGGCTGAGTCAATGCTAATTTGCAATTTGCCACACGTTAGAATTGACCCATGATTTAACAGGATCCGGTCACATCATCTCACCTCATAAATACTTAGTGGCCTCTCTTTATCCGCTCAGTCGATGATCCCGGGAGCGCCGGTTAGCTGTCGGGGCGAAGGCACCGTCAATGCGGGTGTCTATAAGTGCCACAGATGTCCTAGTTACAAAATCGCTTTCCTCATTCCTAATGGTGATCAGACTACAACGTTTTTCTAACAACCCATAGGTACTATTTCAATTTATACAAAAATGGCCCAAGCTATTAAAAAGAGGCACTCCTCCAAAAGGTGTTTTAAAAATATTTAATTCATCCACTCATACGGATGGGAT